AAAATTTTTTTTTGGGGAATCTGAGTTAGTATAATAAAAAAAAAGTGGTAGGATCACAGATTAGGTATCCTATAAGTATACAGATAAAAATCTTGTCCCTGATTCGTGGTACGAAAATTGTTTTTTATGACGATGTGCAAACGAGTCAAATTTCCTGTGCGCAAAAATAAACTCGCGTAAAATAACAATAAACAGTGTAATAGAGAGATATCGCTAAACCGAATAGCGTGCATGGACGTTAATAAGGCCAGGTGTTATTTCCTTTACGTGAGGTGGTATTAACTCTCTTCATTTATAGTTATCGGATCGGAAAGAATTCTGTTCGCGTCGCGTCCGCTATTTAACTTTAACCTAACTTTGAATTTAAAAATTGAAATCGTTTTGTTTATCAGGTATTTTAAAATTAAAGGGCTAAAGTGCTTATTTCCAGTGCTTTATTGTTCAACGTCTGCCAGTGGGTTTAGGGCAACAAGCAACAAATTCTCTTAGAAGGGCTAAGTCGTCATCTGCTGTAAATCTAAGCCTCTTTATAGGTTCTTTAATATTGGAAGAGGTGGAATCCATATTTTGAGCCATATTGATTTAATTAAAACTAATCCCAGCTACTTAAATATCAGATTACCTAATAAAACTAAAGTAATAATTCAAAACAATTCAAACATAACCTAAAATAAAATCTCGCCGGCCGGCCCAGGTTGTAAATACCCGCACATGCCCATTTAAGCAATTTTTAAACGTTATTTAGAAATAGCGCTTGGTGTAATTGATCCGCAAATTACGTCAGGCGGTAACGTTATTAGCGGGTGTTGCGTTAAAAATTGACTCGGCGCATATAGTAACCATGATAAGGTACGCGTAAATACTGCATGACGCTATTCGGTTTTCCGATATCTCTCTAATAACTGTGCCGGTCAGGCGCTGTGCACAATTTTAGAGGCTATAAGTGGGCGTGCTATGTGCGCAAACTAGTTACCTAACTAGTGCCCGATTCCGAAAATTGGAACCACGAAAAACAATAAAGAAAATACAAAGTTTATAATTTGTATAATCTGTGGTAGGATGGGTAAACAACTAAGGCAATTTTTTTCAGAATTTTCAAAAAAATTTTAGCCGCGCCCCAGGGACACTAAAGAAATTTTTTTTCAACCTCAATATTTTGATCTGGAATAGTGTAAAAGTGAAACATACTACCTCACTTATATTGAGGAAAAAAATTGGAAATAATATTTTAATACTTTAGAATTATTATTTTATTTCTTTGCTAGGTTTTGAGGCACCCGAAGGAACAAAATCACATTAATGTAATCAAATTAATATAATCTGTTTTACTTTGCCTTAAAATACTCTTTTTTATTGTCAAACGAGGGTAAATTTTCTATACCTTCTAGTCTAACCCTTATGAAATCATCTCTTGCCGAGGGGCCACAAACTCTGCTGGACGCTTCTGTCACAATCTTTATGCATCTCTGCACAGAAGGAGTGTGACATGGTAATTTACTTACATTAATGAAGGACCCATCCTTAATAGCTGCTAATAGATCATCATTTTTCAGTTCCAATGTTGGTGGTGGTTCAGTGATAGTGCACCCGCTCCATTTAATTAACTCCGTGTAATCTTCGGCGTTCCAATTTATATCGGCAATTCTGAATATTCGCCCTTTTGTTGGTGGTTGACTTCTAACCTTTAATATTCGTCGAATACCAAGTTAACTCTCATGTCTTCTCAGGCAATCATAGCTACTAATATATTTTCCGAGTGGGCAAAATATGCGCTGGTTTTAGTCACTTTATCAACGATTGCTTTGATTTCTCTTAGAAGATATCTGGACACATTAATAGTTTTCCATAGATGCACGGAACCATATCCAATCGATGGCCGAGTTTTAATTTGGAACCACAGGTGCGTACACTTTCATAATGAATTCTACTAAGAGAAGAAGGTTTTGCGGAGGATTGCAAGTTGCCACATACAGTCGCAGTATACGGTTGGCTGTGGTCAACCAACGCGCATGGTTAATTTTTCCAGGATCTCTTTTAGGCAGAACTTCGGAACAAAAACCATCTCTAATTGCACAACAGATCTGATACAGATATTGTTGATCTCTGCTTAAAAAAATCTTTGTCTTTAACTTCAGATAATGTAATATCAATTACTTGGAACTTTTGTATGGGTTTGGTGTTACACGATGCCAGCAATGAACCAATTGGACCCGAAAAGGAGTTTGGTCCTTTCGTTTGTCCATCAAGGTGTTGGAGCAAGTGACGTAAGTGCAATTAATAAAATATTTTCACCAATTTTTTTTCCTGTAATGAGGGAGCTTTTATTCATTAGGTTTTTGCTATTCCAGAAACAAAATCAAACCTAAAAAAAATTTTTTTTCACATCCCGAGGGCGCGGCTATTTTTTTTTAATTCCAAAAAAAAATCCACTTGATGTTCTAACCATATTACATTTTTTTACAGTACGTCTGTCCGTTCTGTAGCTACGGGGTATCCGTGAGAGAGGAAACGATATTCTCTCGATGTTTTTCCTAAAAAATTAGACGACGCGTCCCGTCAATAAAAATTCGACAAATTTGCAAGTAGCGAATAAAATGAGTGGGCGGAGCGATTTGCGGTGATGTACTTGTCAAGTCGACGTATAAAATATATTGCTGTTTATTTAAATGTTTTTGTCCGCGTTCCTTTCATAGGCACAAATCCAGCAGACGTACTGTACTATGCCAGATTAGATTTCGAAAAATATTTTTTTCGGCCCACCCTATCTACAGGGTCCGGCAGCAGGAGGTCGGCATCTGTAGCTCCTGGAATAAAAAGTTAGGAATTTTCTTTAAGTGCAAATCTAAAGTTGGTTCTAGGATGCATTTCAGGAAAATATTTTAACTTCTACACGGTAGCTCAAAAAGGTGTGAGTGGATCGAGATGATTTTTTTTAAATGGAACACCCTGTATGTTATTGTATTTTTGTATTTGATCTTTTTTGGTCACTTTACATAATACTAAGATATTATTAAATATGTTTTGATAGTTTCAAAGATATAAAATAATAAAAAACAAATAAATAAAAAATATATATTTCTCAGTCTTTCTTAAAAAAATTACTACATATAGGTCTATACTTACTTTGTTATAAATATTGTAATCTTAAATCATACAGTGTGTTTAGTGTGTTTAAAATTCTACACCATACTTTCTGATATATAAAATATTTTTTTTTAAAATGGAACACCCTGTATATTTTTTTTTATTAGATGGAGAATTAAAAAATTAACTATTTTTGTATTTAAAGTATATTTTTTAATTATTTTAAAATTTATTTTTTCAAAAATTTTTATGGTTTTTTAGATACAGTACGTCTGTCCGCTCTGTAGCTACGGGGTATCCGTGAGAGGGGAAACGATATTCTCTCGATGTTTTTCGTAAAAAAATAGACGACGCGTCCCATCAATAAAAATTCAACAAATTTGCAAGTAGCCAATAAAATGAGTGGGCGGAGCGATTTGCGGTGACACACTCGTCAAATCGACGTATAAAATATATTGCTGTTTATTTAAATGTTTTTTGTCCGCATTCCTTTCATAGGCACAGATCCAGCAGATGTACTGTACACGCAGTATTATTTCATATAACCTCTCAACGGTAAAATACAAGAAAAAAATCATTGGGTGGCTATGATAAAAATTTACTGTGTATAATCGTAAATATCTACGAAACCGTTAAAAATTTTGAAATGCCCTAAATACAAAAAAATTAATTCTAATAAAAATTTTCTATATGGGTATTTCGCCACTGCACTGCAAGAAAATCTACAAAATAAAATAGATTTTTTTTTGTAAACACTTAAACGCTTTCTTTGTCCGTTTAGGTTTAACGCAGAAGTGTTTACAAAAAATAACTATTTATTTTGTAGATTTTCTTGCAGTGCAGTGGCAAAATACCCATAAAGGATTATTTTTGGAGAGATGAATCCGCCACATAGGTATAGACATTTTTTAAAAATGTTCTAATTCTCCATCTATTGAAAAAATAATATACAGGGTGCTTCATTTAAAAAAAAACAAGAAAAATTATTTAATATTTTAGAAAGTTTGGAATAGAATTTTGAACATCCTGTATGATTTACGATTTCCATATTTATAGCAAAATAAATACAGACTATCTAAAGTAAATACGTAATATATTTTTGATTTCAAGACAGTTCTTGTATTTGTAATAATATTTCTAAGGAAGGGTTGAAAAATATATATTTCTTATTTATTAATATCTCTGAAATTATCGAAATACATTTACTCATATCTTAAGAGTATGTAAAGTTGTCTGAAAGGAAGCCAAAAATGCAATAATATACAGGGTGTTAGATTTAAAAAAATTATCCCAATCCACTCACACTTTTTTGGGCCACCCTATAGAAGTTAAAATATTTTCCTGAAAAACATCCTCGATCCCAGAGGCACTACTGCATGACCCTGTATATCGGATTTTGTATTTGGACTTTTCAACTCAAAATTTATTATAATATACCGGGTGTTTTGAGAAACGTGGGGAAAAATCTCTAGTGGAGAGATTTCTTGATAAGAAATAGTCCATTGATAACCCATATGTGCGTCCCTGGTGAATATATATCGACAGTTTTTTAGCATTAAAATATGTTGTACTTATAGTAACTCTTACCTTCAAAATTTCATTCAGATCGCTAAAAGCACTTGGAAGAAAATTACAATAAAACGAAAAAAGCTGAAGACTGTAAACCCCGGTAACTACAAAACAAAGCAGAATCGGAACTATGTTAATATGAAAAATAATTCTTATTTTTGCAAGCGGAATCTCCCCACAAGAGATGACACGTTTTTTGAAACACCTTGTAAAATGACAGTGATCCTCATTCCATAGCCATCGCTGACACCGTTTTTTTTTTCATTCATATTGTACCTTGCTGTTTCAGGTTCTTCTTCTACTGAAAAATCCAGCTTTGGTTTTAACAAGAAATTATAATGCCATTCCAGAAAATTATTTGTTTTGTTGTACCAATTACAATTCATTATAAAACTTTATTCATTATACAATGATTCTTAGTGTTTAAAATATGTATACCTAAATAATATTAAAGTCATGATTTAATACATATTAAGAAACAAAATACTTAAAACTTAAATCAAATGCAACTGTCCTAATTTATTTTAATTATTTCATAATATATAGATAAATTCATTTAAAATAAAAGGATATCACTCTGTCCATCGGTGAGCACAATGCGGATTGGTACATACATAATACAATCTCATTTCTTCTTCAGCTCTTCTTGTTTGAGCTTGGAAAAATACCGCTTCTCTATATATAAAAAATCATTTTTTTAAGTATTACTTCTGATAAAAGTATAAAACATAATACAACCTGTGCTGGCAATTAGGACAATGATGATCTTCAGTCCTTGGTAATGTTGGATCTGATATTACATCTGATACTATATGAGTTAACTCACTAAAAAGAGTTATAAATTGTCATAAATAAGTTAAGAGTGCTAAAATATATTTACTTACTCGATTTCGTGCATAATTTTGTTAACATAGATACATTTAGAATCGGCATGTTGTTTGTAGTCACAATTTCTGCAAGCGTACAGTAATATCTTGTTTTCTTTGTCTTCTTTTGGGTACAACATGTTATTACTGTAAAAATTTATTAATTATTTAATTGTATTTCATAAAATCTCTCAATTTTAAAAGTAAACAGATGGTTTATTTACCATTCCTGGCAAAATCGGATACCAACAAAACCTGGGCCTTCACTGTGGGAGTCGTATCCAGTGGGTTTAGACATTTTTTACTTTAAAACACGTTTTTCGGAATTGTTTATTATAAAATATGCGTTTTTTCTGATCAAAAATAAAAACTTTTTAAACTATTCTCTGCAAATTAACCTAATAAAATCATAACAAAATGTTTATGTCACAATGTCACTTGTCACTTGGAAAACCTACCACAGAAGCAACGTCTGGCATATCTTTCAGGGATGGGCCTGTAAAAAACTTTTCGTGTATAAGGTTTTTTACGGGTAATAAACGGTAGTTTTTTAAAATTCAGGTATATTTCTGTAAGTTTTTATATTTTTATCGGTTTTGTTTTATTTTTTTTCAGTATTTTAACACTAAAAAAGGTAAAACAGGGTAAATAAGGGTGAGTTGGTTTTATGATTTTGGCAGAAGTTGCCGTGACAACTGAAATGAAGAAGAAAAGCGTTGTCACTACCGATTCAGAGGTGGCGCTGTAATAGAAAAAATATTTTAAATATATCAAGGAATATTTTTTTATTTAAATTTAATATTTTAATTTTATTTTTAGTATTTTCTAAAAAGGTTACTAAATTGATCGCTTTTAAGGCTGCTTGACTATCGAATAAGATGACTATTTCGATAAGTACTATTATCAGGAACTAATAGACAATATTTGAATCCAAATAATTTTATTTTCATATATTTCTTTCATATAATTTTCAAATATTATGTTAATTGCTGATTGTTCAGAATTGATTTTTCGTACGATAATCGAAAAAAAAACGGCGTCTAGTTTGCTTGGAAATGAAGCGATTGATGACATTCCCATATGGCATTACGTATAAAATGACAGCGAAAAAAATCTTCATGCCATCTCTGACGCCGTTTTTTTTATCATATTGTATTTTTCTCGTAAAATTTTAAACAAATTTTCACATTTTCCAAAATATCTAATAACTCTGTTTAAAATTTTACCACATCTAACATTTCACTTAGATTTACTGCAGAATTATAATATATCTGTTATTTTATTCACCTAACTAATTGCTTTAAATTATAGTTTGGAGTTATATTTCGAATCTTTTATTTTACACAATGTGCGTATATTACAAAGAAAAATATACAGGGTAAAACGCACGGGCAAATTTCAGTAGAATTCTTGAAAAAAAAGAGTAAGAAGAGAACCAACAGCAACACATTTAGTCGAAATAGCACTCCAAAGATTTTGAATACCCGTATTTAGTGCTCATGCTGGAAGTGCAAATATTTTAACAATGTATGACTAAATTGAATGTTTTATTTCTAATAATACAATACTGTTTTATTTGAAAGTACAAATTGCCAAATTGTATTGGAAACATACGGAAACCAATGTAATAATCAATACACATGAAACGTCGTATACAAACATAGCCTTGGCGTTTGTACATAAATATTAATAAATAAGAACATTTATAAACGATCTTACATTTGGCAAACTGTACTTGTTTCGATCACAATTTGATTGATATAGAAAAAGTTCGGATAAAAATATGCAGCTTATAAGGACCACCCCTACATCTCAAAAATAAAAGAACGCTTAGATCCTCTTTACACGAGTATACCGGGTGCGTCTCAAAAGTTATAAAGGGTGACCTTATATAACTTTTTTATTTTTTCAGATAAAAAAACGAGATTTGGTATATTAGTATATGACATAAATTAGGATTGATTGACGTATGCAATTGTTGTTGGTCACTTCCTGTTTCACCGGAAATGACTACAACTTTTGATTTTTAAACTGTACCCTCGGTATTTTTTTACTTTATTCGATAGAAAATGACATTCTGAATAGAATGACGTATAATGTGCCAACTTTTGAAATTCTCAATTTTTCATTTTCAATCTAGAGTGCCATGGTTATGTTAAAAACACTAATTTTTAATCAAGGAGCCTTGGAAAAATAGATTTGATAGTCTAATTAATGTTTATAGTATCTTGTCCTGACCGGGCCAGTTAAAAGATGCCCAAATCGTATTTTTAATCATATCTTATTTTTTCAAATGGAACGAGGGCGGGTCATTATCATATTTGGAAAAAGATTTTTTTTACGAATAATTTTGATACCACACACTTGTGGTATTTCGAGTCAAATTGTCGTTTTGAAACGCATATTGCAATTTAAAATAAACCATACTCAAAATTGTCAAAAGTTGACATATGATATGAATAAATAAATTGTTGACATAGATTATGAATAAAGTAAAAAAAATATCAAGGTTGTCATTTAAAAATCAAAAGTTATAATCATTTCCGGTGAAACAGGAAGTGACCGAAAACAATTGAATACGTCAATCAATCCTAATTTATGTCATATACTAACCTACCAAATCTCGTTTTTTATCTGAAATAATAAAAAAGTTATGCCGGTGAGCCACTTTCTAGACGCACCCGGTGTACCAAGCCTAAATTATCATCGATTGTCATTCTCAAGTCGTCTTTGACGCCGTTTTTTTTTCGATCATACGGTATTATATTCATGTAAATCGTGTAAAACAAATCCAGGGAGACTGAACTCAATTCTGGAGAGTTGGGTACTCTGGAGAGTACCAGGATAACTCCAGTACATCCGACACCTGGTTTTCTTTTGTTTTTTCTGGTCATTTTTTAAATGTCATCTGTCGAATTCTTCCAAAAATTCATTGGACAGACTCAATCAGAAGGATTTGAAGTGCACGTTTGAAATTTTGAAAAAGTAATAAATTAAAAATTAAAAAATAATTTTGATTCAATTTTACAAAATTTGAATTAAAATGAGTGTCTGTCCATCTGTCCGTACGCCACTGGTGCGTTTTTTTATTCGAACTTACGCTATATCAATTTTGAAAGACTCATTTTACTTAAAACTGTCTTTAGAAAATCTACTTTATAATATACAGGGTGTCCCAATATACCGTGAACATAAAACTGAACTTATATTTTGATTCCAAAATTACGTAGTAGTTCTATGTCCACGGAATATTGGGACACCCTGTGTATTACGATACATCGTAAGTAAAAAAAATATTTTTTTCTTACGTAGATGCATTTATGAACTGTCTTAGGTTCTTCTACGTTAACCATTCAGTTTCTGACAATAAAGATAGAAATTTACAATAATTCAGATTATTATTTTTATATTTGTTGTCTATTTTTGAAATATGATTATGTCCGTTAAATAAAGAGAAAATAACCAAAAAGTGATACTGAGACTACTTATAAGTGCGTGAAGGCTGTGTATAACTTTGGTAAATTAAATTTAGGATAGAAGAAACAATTACCTACAAAATACTAACTGTTTAAGACCTTAAAAATAAACTAAAATTCAAAAATCGACCTTTTTTAATTAATAAATAATTATCTACTCAATAAAAACAGTATGCGCGTCTACCGCCCAAAACTGGAAGACAAATATGATTAATTTCAATTATACATTTCATCCTCAAAACAATTTCATATCAAATATGGACTATAGCCTTCTACAAAACAAACTAACGAAAACATATTTAGCAGACAATATTTTTCGTTATTTTCAAAATACAGTTTTTGAAAAATTATTCGATAAAGAGGTGTACCCACTGTTAAGACATCTTTGGTACTCTGGTGTGTTTTATTTTACAAAATTATATTACTGATACCCCTTTTGTAACTTTAGAAATATTTATAGTATAGATCATACAAATAAATATTTAGTCACGTGTAGGGAATGCAATCCCGCACCAAAATCTCAATCCCGGAAACCCGCGGGATTAAAGCAATCAATCCCGCGGATCCGCGAAATTGCGGGATTGTAAACAATAGTCATATCTTTGGTCCTAAATGGTACAAAAGACATTGTACATTTTGCATAAACCCACAATACATTGATATAGCGTGTATCTTAAACTAGCTGTACAGAAATTTGGACCCATGTATACAGGGCGTTCAAAAAATATATTTAATATTAAATAAACTTAAATTTTATTATAATTTATCTACTTATTTTATAAATAAAAATATTATTCTGATTTTGAAGTTTTTTTTCAAACTTGTGTTAGTTATCTGCTTTTAGATATACACTCTATATCAATAATTTTTTGGAATATGCAGAATGTACAAAGCTTTTTGTACCATTTAGGGCCATATACGTATGACTAAAAACGCATAATTTTCGAAAAACGTCGTATTTTCCTTAAAACAAAAAAAAATAAGAAACCGATCAAATTGTTTTTTCTAATTTCAATACAGATTAGTCGTACTTGGTAAAAATTTCGATTTTTTAAAAATTGTAAATTTGCGGTAAAAAGATTCTTAACCAAATTTTCACACTCTCATAAAACACCCTGTATACGAGAATTCGCTAAATATATTTTCAAAAACCACATAGCATCTTAATCACAATAGATGCATCTAAAACCTAGTCCAAACCGCATCCCAAAATCTTTTTTAGTTCAAGAGATATTCAACTTTAAATTTACCCTAAAATTTTGCTTGTCCCGATAATGGGACATTCCGACATTCTATGAATATCCTGCGGATATTGTGTGTTATATGAGTAGTTAAACACTTTCCTTCACTTACGCACATACGCCAGAAAGAAATCTAACAACTAACCTGTTTGTTTCAGTTATTTTTAATGGCCAAGCCGTAAGGGGAATCCTCCGGGTTCCGAGGTTTGACCTTAATCGAGATCGATTCGGTTACCCAGTAGTAATGTGTCGATCCCGCGGATCCCGCACGGTAAATCCCGCAACTTTGATCCCGCGGAATCTCAGAGGGATCCCGCATTTGCAGGATCCAGCATTTGCGGTATTACATTCCCTAGTCACGTGATTAAGCTTGACCGGCACAGAGTTGCCCACTTTTACATAATTTCTTGTAATGAAAATATTTCAGGAAACAAAAATAAATTTATTATACCGCTTTCTCGTTCAAAATATTCTAATAAGGTTGCGATGTGTTTTTTACTATTAAGCTCTCTCGTATACTTCGCACTAAAAGAGGTTCTAAAAAGAACAATGTTTGACTGCAAGGTACGCTAGTATTTTTTTTAAGTTTAAAGTATCACAACACAATTCATTTAAATGTTGTAAAAACTCGTAAAACTTAAAAGTGTCAAAACGAACGACAATATGTCAGGAAATAACTAAATAAATGTGGCAACTTGACATTTTTTACATCAGAGCTACCGCCTGAATCCCCAGCGGGAATTTTAAATTCCAGTTAGTCAGCCCCGCGCCGAATATGTCCATGGTTTTGGCAACAATGAATTTAAAAATCGCGCCCTCGATTAAAACGTCACTAGAAGTTTAATTGGTATCTCTTATTATTATTATAATAATTGTTCTTATCGGCATGCATCAAAAAAATTGATCAAATAATTGATTATAAGTGAGAAAACATTAATATACAATGACAGTGATGAAAGGGTATCAGTAAATTCATAATAACATTAAAATGACATGAATGTGTTTAAACAGAACTGGTGGCTTGATGAGAGGTACAATGGCTGTCCGAAGAGCAGACAGATAAAGGTACAGGACTGTATTGCATAGCGTTGTAATCGTTGCAATTCAAGTATAGCCTGGAACTGGTTCTGTCGCACTCTGGACACGATCGTTTTTTCTTCTTGTTCCTCCTGAACAGGTCGTACGCGCACCTAAAAGGGATGTAACAAATATTAGATACTTAAATCAATCTATGTTAATGGCAAAACAATTTGCGATGCACGCGATCAACTTTGAGTGACAAGCGATGGCGACAGCGCTGCCAGATTGTAATGGATTTATGAGATGAATCTTAATTTAAAATTGATAAACAACATATTTATTGTATCATTTTTTAAGGATTTTACGTATTATTTTTAATTTAATAATTAATATTTTATTTTAGTGATTTTATAGCTTATTTTACTTATTACATATTGGCAAAAACTAGTCCATTATGAAGACTATTATTCTAAGCAGTATTATGGGATATTTATTTATCGATGTCACATCTTACAACGCCATAAGTGGTGATAACAAGTAAGAGGGTGCTATTAATGCACAAACTAATAATCACAGAACTTAATAAAAACTAACTTTGAAAGTGGTATAATGTGCTTATCAATCAAACTTAATTTTCTGACTGCAGTGAAGGGTAATAAAGGACCTTTATTGTCGTCACGTTCTCGTTCAAAATAATTTAAAAAAAAAACAGGAAATCTACAAGCTCTTTGCTTCGACTTAAATGCTTCGGCATATTTTCAACACATAATTTCAAGATATGCAATACAAAAACTCGAAAATTTAGTTCTTAAAAGAATTGTTTGTGCTTAAAAGTTCAATTTTTAAAAAAATACTATGAAAATAGGCAAAAAACGAGAATTACTCACAAAGATTCAACAACAACACGATATTATACAAAATAATGACTGACACTAGGATAATTGTCAAATAATAAAGGACAACATTGCTGAACACGGCGCGATGTGTCCAACATAGCGATAATAAAATTCGGTTTAAACTAATTTTTGCAGCTTTAATCTAAATAAAATATCTGTTAGCTCTACAGGGTTGTTCACCACATACGACACGGAGTATTGTAGTTAAACGATTAGATTTTTACAAATTGTAAGATTTGGGTTCGTTGAAGGACTGTTAGAGCTACAATTTAAAATTATTTTTACAAGATACAGAGTGTCCCAAATAAATAAAAAATATCAAAGTTGTATTTTTTTAAATGAAACACCCTGTATATTATTGCATTTTTAGTTTCTACAATTAAAATAAAGGTAAATTTGATTAAGGTTTATTACACTTAAACCTTACCGTTTTTGAAATATTTTCAATTTTGCGAAATTGCAGTATAAATTTTAAGGCTTCATTTCTCCGAGGATATCAAGGTTCTTAATACTAAATATTTACTGAAGTTTATTTATTGTTCAGTTATTGTGTTGCAATAATAAAAATTATAGTACCTTATACAGAGTGTCTAAAAATTTATTTTAAATAAGTACTAGCTTTAAACGGCAGTAACTTATTTAATTTAAATAGAACACCCTGTATATTTTATGAGAAGCAGATGCACGATTTAATTGTCTATCAAATTGTATTGTACCACTTCTTACCTATTCCTTCAAGTTTTCGTAGAAAATGCATTTTCTTATAATTTAGACCTCATTTATCAATATACCCATGGAATATTGACATTTTAGATTGTTTTTAAAACAACAAATGTACAAAATGTACGGGCTAGTAATATTATCGTTTTTAGTAAAACGATAATATTACTAGCCCATTTGTATGCAAAAAGGAAACTATTTAAATCTTTATAAAAGAGTACCATTAATGAAATATACCACCAGTATTTCCGCCCAAATACTAATTAACTACATACTTAATTGTGTTTGGTTTGGTTGTGATGTGGATTTGAATCAGAAATCAATATAATAATAAGTTATGAAAATGAACGTATCTGTTGTTATAAATAAGCATTTGTCAAAAAATTAAATATCATTTTTAAGGTGTTACTTTTTACCACACTGTCTAATACACATACATAATTCAGTTTTTTAGTATTTGGAGCAATTATTATTAATCAAAGCAAACAGCCAATTAATGTAGTTTGAATACTGGAATCATATTAATTGGTCCTCTTTAACAAATATTTAAAGAGTTTTTTTATTTTTTAATGAAATAAACGAACTATATCGACAATATTAGTATCTGTACTCTTTAAAAATTTGGTACATCTTTAAAAATAATCTGAAATGTCAGTATTCCATGGGTATATTGATAAATGAGTTCTAAATTACAAGAAAATGCATTTTCTACGGAAACTTGAAGAGATAGGTAATAAATGGTATAATACAATTTGATAGACAATTAAATTGTGCATCTGATTCTCATAAAATATACAGGGTGTTCTATTTAAATTAAACAAGTTATTGTCGTTTAAAGCTAATAATTATTTAAAATAAATATTTAGACACTCTGTATAAGGTAGTAAAATTTTTATTATTGCAATACAATAACTGATCAATAAATAAACTTCAGTAAATATTTAGTATTAAAAACTTTGATACCCCTCGGAGAAATGAAGCCTGTAAATTTATACTGCAATTTCACAAAATTGAAAATATTTCAAAAACGGTAAGGTTTAAGTGTAATACACCTTAATCAAATTTACCTTTATTTTAATCGTAGAAACTAAAAATGTAATAATATATAGGGTGTTCCATTTAAAAAAATACAACTTTGATATTTTTTATTTATTTGGGACACTCGGACAAATTGTAGCTCTAATAGTCCTTCAACGAACCCAAAACATACAATTTGTAAAAATCTAGTCGTTTAGCTACAATACTCCGTGTCGTATGTGGTGAACAACCCTGTATAAAGTAAAATGACGAGCTGCTCGGTATCTTAAATTATACAACAAATTTAGACACTTTTGCCAAAATTTAATTTAGTCAGGTTTATAGACTTTAGTGTCAATGTCGATATGATCGATGAAGTGCATCGGAAATTATTTTGCGATTACAATACACTCACAGTCTCGAAAAACGGGCAGCATTTAAGCAAAATGTACCATTATATAGTCCATAATGTGATTTTACCTGCTTTCATTGGTTGAGACTAAACGCTGGTGCGTTTTGCCAACCGTGACTAAAACGTGATACGTTCTGCTATATTCTTTCCAGCATCATGCAAATGTTTTAAGGACAATGCAGATTACACTAACATGTTATAAACGCCATTATTAAAATCTTTGATTTTTAGGAATGACCACAGAATTATTCTATTTAATATTTGATCGTCTTTTTAGGACCAGCGTGAAATGTTAAGAAAACGCCTATTTTATAAAAATATTAGTCACTTCTGAAAAATTGTTTGTTTGATTTCCGTGTGTCGCATGTCGTGGCGTCTCTGTAACACACACACAAACATTCCCTACGACCCCAATAATTTACGAATATAAGTTATCCACTAAGTTATATCCACGAAGGGTATTTTTTGCCACTTCTTTAAGATTGCTTCTTCAAAAGCTTTTTCTGCACCTGGCAAGGATGAAGCGATTAAACTAGTTTTGAAAGATTTATATAATAATGGTCGGTCTTCATTGGAAACTGCGTGATTTTTGTCCCAAAGCCACCTCCATACAGCCTGTCCAATATGGAAAGAACAAAGTAAACATTCGCCGTACAATCCAGGCAACTGAATTTAGTCGCGAAAATCCTGAAATCCATGCGTCGCGTCGCGATCTTTTGCTGTTTTTAGTTCAGTATAAATAATGCTACCTTTATCCAAAACTTCCTTTACACTGTATCTAAATTGATCCGGTAAAATATACGTCGAACCTTCAGATGTCATGGTACATATCAATTAAAAATGCTAAAGTATACACAAAAAAAATGTCTGTCTAATGAAAACTACTTGAGAGAAGCGTATAATGGTGGCGTGTTTTTGGCGAAGTTCTCATACCAATCCGTCAATTATTTTTATTTTTATCAGGGCAATTGCTAAAACTAGCTAAATATTTTTGAATATTATTTTTATTTTTTGTTCTTTGACATTGTAAACATTTATAAATGTTTATTGTAACAATAAGACTGACAATATTATTTGTATAATGTTTTGTATCATCTTTTGATTGTTTGTTTGTGTACCTTGTTTTTTTACTTTGTTTGTTAGTTTACCTTTGTCTACAAATTGAAAAATTTTTTGACAATAAAGGCATTTATTTATTTATTTATTATTGAAAAGGTTAATGCCATTCGATCTCAAGTATAATACACCACTTTTTAGTAAAGTTTGGCAACATGTAGGTACCTGCGTTTGGAATGCCTCACGCTAACGTGGCAAAATGTACCGCATTTTAGTCATGTTCATTGTCTCCGTTTGTAATTTTATTTTTAAGACATATTATGTGGTTGTTTCACATAATATGTTTTAAAAATAAAATTGCAAATAGCGAATAAAAATAATTAAAATAAAAAAGTGTATTTTCCAATTCCCCCGGCCCCGCACCCCTTTAGCTAACCTGTAAATGTCAGCTATGTCGAGAGATGGCGCTACGAAAATGGAACCGATTTATTAGAAGGAACTTGGGCTTCTTTTTCGTTAGTATATTCTGTGGTCATGTTTGGCAAAACGCACCAGCGTTTAGTCTCGACCTGTGGTCTCGACCAATGCGAGCAGGGAAAATCACATTATGGACTAAATAATGGTACATATTGCTTAAATGCAAACGGGCACCTTAAAGTTTTGAAGTATTTTAAACTTTAATATATTTTATTCTAGTAGGCTGATTTTGATGATTTTTAAGCAATTTGTAGCTAAATTATTTGACTTTTTAGTATCTCTTTATAAATTAAAAATGAAAACTCCATTATGTCAATTATACGAGGAAAAACAAAATGTTGATATTTTGATGAAAGTTTGATTATATATCCCTGTGGAATATGTTAAGATAGTAATGAATTTAAAAATAATTTTATCACCTAGGTACATCCTTTGTCGATAGTTTGTTTTTTGGTTCATTTCAATAGCTTTATTTTTGTTGGAGATATTAGCTTTTGAAGGAGACTCTAACATTTTTTCGTAATTTTTACATTAAAACCATGCCTTTCAAGTCAAATTTTTAGTATAATTATACGTGTTATAGAGTTTATATAAACGACAGACTCCTGTATAATGAAAATGGGTTTTATTATACCTAGCGTGAAGAATGTGAGCACAAGGCAATGCTTCCAGGGAATCCGCTTCCAGTCCATAAGGAGATCCACATCCTCCACATTGCAGATCCAGGTCTTGTTGTAATCTAAACGCTACACGTTCATGATGAAGCTTATTGTTCTCATCTCCCAGAGCGTGATATATCCTCGAAAGTCGTATCCTCACCGCCCGCACTAATAACTAAAAAAATATTGTTTAAAAATGATTCAGTTATAGATAAATAAAAGCAGGTTTACAACATTAACCCTTCAATACTATATAGGGTATTTTAATATCCCACATAGTTGTTTTACTTAGACTTATGCCGTCTTCTGTATTATTTAACCGTAGTGTGTAGGTTTGCATGCTATATATATCTGCTGTCCTCCATTCACGCAGTTGTGCGGCTCTGAACTGTCCAAGAACGCGATACTCTCACTCCACTCAATTGAGTCCTAAAGTTCAGAACTGTTCCGCGCCATATGAAGGCAGCAGGCTATTGCGCACCGTTCCTTTCAGAACCGTTCTCGAGTAGCCCAGGGCGTAAAGCACTGGAACTTGAAGTTCGCGAATGGAGGACAGCAATTCGCAATGATGTCACCAAAATTTAAGAAATACATCTTTTAAACGTTGAGGAACCAACAAGATCTACTACAGCAAATATTAGACCAGTGTTTACAAGATCAAATTCGATTATCAAAATATAAGTCATTTACGGCATTTTAAATGGCAGGTGAATGTGCATTTTTTTTGAATTGTATAATATTGAACTTTTAATTAACTCTGAGCGTGGGGTAGGTAGATAAAGATCTTGCTCTGCGTTTCTGAGTGGATAAGTGTGAGATGGCCTTTCTTGAGAAGCTGATACATGCTTACGTATTAGGCAAACGAATTCAAATATAAATAGGGAAGGAAGAGTTAATATTTTTAATTTTTTAAAAACGTCCTGGCAATGAGTTCTGCTGTTTAGCCCCAGTGAATATCGAACAGCTCTCTTCTGGAGCTTGAAAATGCGGTCAAATTGAGTCGCACAACACGCACCCCAGAATGGAAGGGCATATCTAAGGAAACTACAGGTTGCAAAACGCTCAATGGAACTAAATATGCTGGGAATATCCAAGAAAGACCGTAAACGAATAGAGTGGATACGACAAAAGACCCCGATAATAGATGTCATCAACAGAATCAAGTCCCTCAAGTGACAATAAGAAGGACGCCTGGCAAGAAGGACGGACAACAGATGGACCACAAAAATTACAGCATAGTATCCATCAGAAATTAAGAGACCTACAAGAAGACAAAATATGATATTAGGAAATTATTTAGTAATTGTTTACAACAGAGAAAGACACCGAGTGAGTGGAAAATTGGATATATTTCATCTCTGCATAAGAAAGGAAACAGAAATGATCCAAATAATTACAGGAGGTTGTGCGCACTGCTACTTCCTCGAGACTCTGGGGAAGAATTATACAAAACACAATAAGAGCTGAAGTTGGAAACTCTATATCCGAAGATCAGAATGGCTTTACCCCAGGCCCGTCATGTACTGACAATTTATTTGTCATACAACAAATAGCAGAAAAAAAAATACCGATAACATCAGTTATATAAAACAAGGAAAGGAACCCATATGTACAACGAAAGGTCTGAGACAAGGTTGTTGCGTATCCCCTCTTTTGTTTAATATTTACCAGGAGATAGCTCTTAGGAGGTTGAAGAGATCATGTCAAGGAATGGGTATTCCAATTAATGAGGAACATCTTCTGACACTTAATTTTACAGACGATCAAGCAGTATTTGCTCAAGATTCGTTTGACATGGAGTTTATGCTCAGGAGACTATATACTGAGTATCAGGAATGGGGTCTAGAAGTCAGTTTAGAAAAAACAGAATACTTGTTATTAAATTCCGACGCCAAATTTGATATTCTAATTGACGACAACGCAGAAATACAACAGATAGACACATTCAAATATGTAGGAGCTATAGTTGATAAAAATGGAATCGGTGGAACAGAGATACGACAGAGAATTCAGAACGCGAAGAGAGTGGTAGGGGCACTCAACTCAATCTGGTGGGACAAACATATTAATATAAAGAATAAAAAACATATTGGCCAAACAATGGTAGAATCGGTCTTATGCTATGGGAGTGAGATATGGGCCCTAAGAGAAGAAGATAAACGGAGAGAATTGGCTGTAGAGATGGATTACTTACGTAGAAGCACTAGAGTGTCCAGATTACAAAGAGTGAGAAACGAGGAAATCAGAAACAGAACATCGGCACAAGAAACAGTAATTCAACGAATAGAGAAAAGAGGTTTGAGATGGTTTGGTCATCTAATGAGGATGGAGGACACCAGATGGCCAAAATTTGTCAAAAGATGGTAATTTAAAAAAATTAAAAAAAAAAAATTAAAAAAAAAATTAAAAAAAAAACGGGAGATGCACTAATATCTCACCGACACTTTACGACATCGTCTGTTGATATAGAAGAAGTTTTGCTTGCCGTATCGGTGAGAGCCAGCCCCTGGACAGCCCACCTGATGAAGGGTAGGCCCAGAAACCGGTTGTGGGAGTGGAGCTTGGTTCCCCCCTTTACGACAAGCAAGACATTTTTCTTTTTACCTTTTATTTTTTTTTTAAATTTTTTTCTCTACTTTCGAATTTTCGAAATTAGAAAAAATACACAGCTAAAGGCAAGAAAATATTATTTATTAATATACACTAAAGCTGTAAGAATTTTGTTCATTTCATATATATGAGCGGGCCGAAAAACGCTCTTTACCATCTTTTGACGGGAGATGCACTAATATCTCACCGACACTTTACGACATCGTCTGTTGATATAGAAGAAGTTTTGCTTGCCGTATCGGTGAGAACCAGCCCCTGGACAGCCCACCTGATGAAGGGTAGGCCCAGAAACCGGTTGTGGGAGTGGAGCTTGGTTCCCCCCTTTACGACAAGCAAGACAATTTTCTTTTTACCTAATTATTTTTTTTTTAATTTTTTTCTCTACTTTCGAATTTTCGAAATTAGAAAAAATACACAGCTAAAGGCAAGAAAATATTATTTATTATATTATATATATATATATATATATATATATATATATATATATATATATATAGGAAATTAGCAGGGATAACTTGAGTCTACAATAGACAACAATGGGTTCAACCAACAAGAGAGTATCTAAATATGTGAGGGAGGCTACACCATACTTGGAAATGGTTGAATAAAGATAAAGATGATCGTTAAAATATAACTGACATCTCAAATCTCTGTTTGTATTTTTATTTTTCACACAAATGTGTAAGGTTAAGTGAAATGTTATTATCTACCTTTGCACCAACAGAACTAGCCACTTCCAGCAATCTAGTGTTAAACTCCAATGGTCTACAGTTGCATATTTTGTGTTGTAATCTTAAGGCTTCCAAGCATCTAGCTGCACCGTCCATGGACTCCATCTGGATTACTCTATCCCCCATAGCAGCTGCGGAACCCATCGCAGCTTCATATTGCCGAAATGCTTTCTAAAAATCAAAAAGAGAAAAATACATAATATTGTACTGTAGATATGGTATTTTTAGTACCGCAAACTGGGGTATCTTTGTTACTAGCATAACTTTGGTACATTCCTAATATTTTTACATCTTGTAGACAAAATTTTATCTTTGCGGGCCAATTTTGGTACTGTCTCAAAGTGGCTCTAGGAATTGTTTAGTATGTATCCTAGCCTGAATATAATTTTGTACTAAAATTGGACATGGCAATTGAAGTGTTCTTTTTAAAGCAGTTATTTAGTCTATTGTATGTGTAAATTTTGATTTTTAAAGTTAGTGCTAAGCAAAGGTTCACCTAATCTCAGTAACAGAATGTTTTTTAAATAACAAATATGTCTCGTAAATATGGGCGTTTAGCCAGATCACGGAAATACAAGAGATTAAAAGAGTAATAAAGGATATTTTTGATTCAGTTATTGGATCTCCAAAATTAGGGTGCACATACATTGGATTTTTTATTTAAGAATAATACTTCTTTTTTGCTGCAATATTTCAGACAATAAGTTGTAAACTTTTGTTGTACCTACTAAGAAAAATATTGTATTTATTTTTATGATAGATATTTAGAATCTGTAAAACAAATCTATTTACTATCTGTATTTGTTAGTTCTTTAGTAAAAAAAATCGTGCCTCCGTGTTCAGTTTTTTAAAAGAAACATACGTTTGCTGCTTTAACATTACGAATATATCTTTTCTCAAACTTTTTTGGTTTCTTTGGTACAAAATGCTTCTTTATCTTTCCCAAAAAATGTATCTGTCCCAAAGTTACCCCAGCAGACAGGGTTACTTTAGGACAACTTTAAAGTGCAATAACTATAAAGAACTCCTTATAATTTTGATTTCATATTTTGGCTAATTTTTGTGTTAGAATAAAGATGTTAAATGACAATGCTTAAATATTTCATATAAACGAAATCAAACAAAAATCGTCAAAATCGTACCAAAGTTACCCCGGTTTACGGTAATAATTATGCTTTTTTTTCAACTTACATTAATATCTGATTTTTTCCTATAAATATCACCCATAATTCTAATACTTCTAGCGTACGTTGCTTGATCACCGGAAACTAAAGCCAGCCTTGTAGCCTCCTGTAGAATAATAGGTTATTAGTAATGATAATATATTATTAATATAGAAAAAGACCTACCGAACAATAGTCGTGAGCATCTCCTAGTTCTCCTTGTTTTCTTAAAGCCGACGCCATTTGTAGTAGAGCAGCCCTAAAAACAAAAAAAAAAACATTTTTTACCACAAAAATACGGAATTTCCTGTAGGAATTTTAACTATGGTTTATTCCAGACGCATACTTTCTAATATACAGGGAGGCACGAATTGTAATCTGGAAACCCGATTATAGTAAGTAAAAAAAGATCCTATTCATTTCTGTCCTGAAATGTTTCGTTTTTGGAGATAGAGGTTCTAGAAGTTTCATTTTTATATATTTTTTTTTCAAATAATTTCTAAACTAATGTTGATATTTAGATGGTGGTGTCTGGGTTTTTGTATACAAAAAAACATGTAAAAAGAGTCTATACCTATGTGGCGGATTCATCTATCCAAAAAAATCCTTATGGGTTTTTTCGCCACTGCACTGCAAGAAAAATCTACAAAATAAAATAGTTATTTTTTGTAAACACTTCTGCGTTAAACCTAAACGGACGCTGCTTGTCAGAAGTTGTATTTACAGTAATAAAAATTTGCCTAACAAAGAAAAAAATGCTTAACGTTTCGGAAAGTTTTCTCTTTCCGTCGTCGGAAACAAAAAAAAATATAAAAAATCAAGAAAAAAACTATTTAAAATATTTAAATTGAACTAATTAAGAGAACACTTTACTTTTTAAAACAGATACGTCTACAAGACGTTCTAAAAAAAAAGCTATGCTTTATAGAGCGCCATTTTTAACCCAAAAGCTTAATATTTAACCCAATTTATAAATTTTAGGGGGGGGCTTGGCTCCATGGGCCCCCCTCTGTGTTCAATTTAAATATTTTAAATAGTTTTTTTCTTGATTCTTTATATTTTTTTTTGCTTCCGACGACGGAAAGAGAAAACTTTCCGAAACGTTAAGCATTTTTTTCTTTGTTAGGCAAATTTTTATTACTGTAAACACAACTTCTGACAAGTAGCGTCCGTTTAGGTTTAACGCAGAAGTGTTTACAAAAAATAACTATTTTATTTTGTTGATTTTTCTTGCAGTGCAGTGGCGAAAAACCCTAAGGAAAAACCCATAAGGATTTTTTTTTGGAGCGTATTGATGTTCTGTGATGGGGTTGTTATTCTATTCTCTCTATTCTGTTACAAGCATAGTATAAGGAAATGTTTTCCTTCTACTATGCTACAAGTAAATGAAGTATTTTAGAGAAAGTTGTCGATTATTGCTAGTAATTATTAGCAGCCCCTAGTGAGAGTCATTAGCGTAACTAGCATTTCATCCTGGGGGGGCCTAGGGTGGAGCCCAGGGGGGGGTCTAGGTCTTTTGTTCTTTAAAAAATGAAGAATAATCTTAAAAAACATTTTTTGAGTAAAACGTTTGGAGAGCGCCATTTTTAACCCAAAAGCTTAATATTTAACCCAATTTATAAATTTTAGGGGGGGCCTTGGCCCCATGGGCCCCCCTCTGTGTCCGCCACTGGCCATTAACTTGCCAAAATATTAAATCATGACTCATTGATTCCTCATCAAAAAATATAAAAAAAGTTCCTATAAATATGGGTTCGAAAATGCATATTTTTAAAGTTTACAGAATGTTAAAAAGATTCTTCTTACCTGTGATGCCTGGAATTTAGATCGCCTAGTTGCAGAGATCGTGATAAGTCGTAGGCTTTAGAGGCGTATTTGGCACTTTTGTCGGCATCCTGCAGTCTGCTGAACAGTTCCGATAAACCTACGTAAACCTAATTAAACAATATTTATGTTCTAAATATCATGAAATAAACAAATTTTAAGTTAATTTAAAAATATCTATTTATACTGTCATACGTAAAATGTATACAGGGTGAGGTTCCTACGATGTTCTCTATGGGTATCTCGGAAACTACTGGAGATAGAGAGTCAGTTAAATGGGGAAAGAATTGCAGTTTTGGGGGGTCATTAATATGCGCCTTTCAGATTTTTGGAAAAGTTCATGGCTTACTTTTAAAAATTGTCCCTAATTCCATTATAAGCTATTTCAGAGAAAAAGTTTTCAGATAAAAGTTGTAGATCATCACATCCTTAATGAGACTGTACCCTACGTTTTATTCTAATTCCTGTCATTTTTGACATATGACACAAACATATGTTTTTTTTTAATGGAAACCATAGTTGGCCATGACTTCATAAAAAGCGCCATTTCTTAAGCTTTTCAGTGATATAAGCTATAATATGCTTTCTTCGAAAAATTACTGAGTTATAGCCAATTCTTATAAATTTTAAACAATTTCACTTAGTTAGCCATGGAAACAAGTTCAATCGTCGTTGCTCTCGAGTGGCGGTACAAGAGAAGTTTAATTAAGTCGACCGGTCCTTCTATGAGAATAGGTAGTAATTCAGTTTTAAAAAGATGCAACCCAAAACAATGGCGGATTTTTGAACATTTTCTAAAATAACTTAAAGTGTATGCAGTGATATTATTTTTTTAAGTTTTAGTTTGTGTAATGTAAATTGTAAGGAACCATTTAGTAATATATTCTGACTTTTTATAAGTTATAAATCATAACAGAATGCGATCTAATTGAAATTAGTCAAGAAAGATAAGAATTGGCTATAACTAAATTTAACTTTCCTAACATGTCTTGAAAACCGTTCTCTAAAAAACGTAAGTAACGTTCACCGGTCAACGTATCCTCGAAAATGTATGGTCAAGAAAAGTTGAATCGATAATCCTACACGCTTTTCTTCATTTGAAAAATTCATATTTACAATTTTTGTTTATTTTAATTTACAAAGTTTGGATGTGACAGCTGCACATTTCTGAAAGCAAAGGCGATTAAACACAAGTTTAATCGCCTTTGCTTGGAAACAATTCCATGGCTAACTAAGTGAAATTGTTTAAAAATGATAAGAATTGGCTCAGTAATTTTTCGAAGAAAACATATTATAGCTTATATCGCTGAAAAGCTTAAAAAATGGCGCTTTTTATGAAGTCATGGCCAACTATGGTTTCCATTTAAAAAAAAACATATGTTTGTGTCATATGTCAAAAATGACAGGCTTTAGAAGAAAACGGAGGACACAGTCTCATAAAGGATGTGATTATCTACAACTTTCATCTGAGAACTTTTTGTCTAAAATAGCTTATAATGGAATTAGGGACAATTTTTAAAATAGCCGAAATTTGTTTTTTTTTCGAAATATCTAGTAAGCCATGAACTTTTTCAAAAATCTGAAAGGCGCATATTTATGACCCCACAAAACTGCAATTCTTTCCCCAAGCGACTCTCTATCTCCAGTAGTTTCCGAGATACCCATAGAGAACATCGTAGGAAACTCACCCTGTATAAGCTCATATCAAATAAACTTTTAGTCACGTGATTAAGCTTGTCCGGCACAGCGTTACCCACTTTTACATATTTTCTTTTAATCAGAATATTTTAGGAAGAAAAAATAAATTTATTATAAATATAGAAACACTTATTATTTACAACAACAAAACTCACCTCCTTAACTGCACTTAAGCGACATAAAGGGCCATTACTACCGCTTTCCCGTTTAAAAGACTTTAATAAGGTTTTACGATTTTTTACAACGGCTATTAAGCTATCTTGTACTACTTCGCACTAAAAGAGGTTCTAAAAAGAACAATGTTCGACTGCAATGTCTGCTAGTAAACATTTTTAAGCTTAAAGTATCACAAAACACAAATCATTTAAACCAAAAACTCATAATAAAAACTTGACTCTGTCAAAACGAATGACAGTGTCAAGAAATAAATAAATAAATACGGCAACTTGACATTTTTTACAGCAGAGTTACCACCTGAATCCCCAGCAGGAAATTTAAATTCCAGTTAGTCAGCCCGGCGCCGAATCTGTCCATGATTGGCAACAATGAATTTAAAAATCGCGCCCTCGATTACCTAACTAAAAGTTTAATTGGTATCGAATATATGTAGTTTGTCGATTCAATATGAAAAATTGAATCGTGTGATTCGATTAACTTGTGTAAACTCAGTAGATTCAGGATTTTTTTTAGTTCACATGTGTTATAACGGTGAGTGATGTTTTATTGATATTTTCGCTTACCTGTAGTTCTAATGCCGGATCGTGTACAGCTTGAGCTATTCTATGGGCGTGCTGGAAACTATCTAGGGCTTTGTTAAATCCGGCTAATTCTAAATATACGGAGCCTACAGTCAGATGGACGTGCCCGGCTGTGGTGCACAGTTCGCAATCGTTGTAGAGGGAGTGTCTTGCGTAGGCCAAGGCCCTGTAACAAAAATATTTCTTTATCCTTTTTCTAAATTTTTTATTTTTTAAGTTTTTGTATGTTCTTAAGTTTTATTTATTCCAACTTCCACCAACGCGTTCCCTGTCGTACAATAGATTTACTTTTACTGACAACTTCATCATTGGCGTAACTACAGTGGTGCCCGGGGGTGCTGTGCCTCTGGCCCCCCCCCCCAGGTACTGCTGGGCACCCCCCAGAGAAATCTTGAATTACGGCTCTTGGCGTATTAATTTTTATTTGCTTGTGATGTAGTAAAAATGGCGTTTTCTAGTTTTGTTTACTCAAAATTATTTTTTTTGTGTACAAAAAATGTGTTAATTTTTATTTTTTAGAAAATTTGTAAGTATTTAAGTAATCTACAGGAAAACGGTTTGATAACCAAGTCTATGAAATTTATTGATAAACGTTGTATTCAAAAAATGTTTTTTAAGATTATTCTTCATTTTTTAAAGAACAAAAGACCTAGACCCCCCCTGGGCTCCACCCTAGGCCCCCCCAGGATGAAATGCTAGTTACGCTAATGACTCTCACTAGGGGCTGCTAATAATTACTAGCAATAATCGACAACTTTCTCTAAAATACTTCATTTACTTGTAGCATAGTAGAAGGAAAACATTTCCTTATACTATGCTTGTAACAGAATAGAGAGAATAGAATAACAACCCCATCACAGAACATCAATACGCTGATGACTGTGCTCTAGTTGCAAATACGTTACAGCAATTGCAAGAAATGTTGAACACATATAGGTATATGGGCATACGAGGCTTTGGGACTTAAGCTGAACATCGATGAAACTAAAATCATGTGCACTCCCCCGGAAGATCACAACAATTCTATAAAAATCGGAGAACTATTGGAATATGTAGCGGAATTCAATTACCTCGGCAGTTTGATTTCGGAAAAGGCCAATATCGACTCTGAAATTCAGCATAGGATTAGCAGCGCCTCAAGAGCATTCTGGAAATTAAAAGACAGGGTTTTCTACAATCACGACTTGAGCACAAAAACGAAACTTGCAGTGTACCGAGCAATAATAATTCCCACCATGTTATATGGAAGCGAAACCTGAGTACCGTACCGCCGACACATGAACGCATTAAACAAGTTGCAACAGAGACATCTTAGACAACTCTTAAGAATAAAATGGTTCTACCATGTCTCAAACGTATCGATGCTTATAAAATATAAAAAGCTAACTGCGAGAGTATTGAAGTCATGATTACTAAGTCCCGCTTAAGATGGGCTGGTCAAAATATCTGCTTTACGGTGAGCTTGTAGACGGTAAGAGGAGGTCGGGTGGACAACTCAAACGGTACAAGGATATTTTTCACGAAAACTTAAACTTAACAAGCAGAATGAGTGGGAAGAAGCAGTTCACAACAGAACGGAATGGAGAAAAATTGTAAAGTCAGTTACCAGCGACAATCAAAAAGTAAGGAGGCAACAAAGCAATGAGATTTTTGAATGTCTGGAGTGTGGTAAACAGATAACTGAGAAATTGAATCGTGTGATTCGATGCACTAAAAAGAATCGTAATGCCCATCACTACAACAAAGTAATGAGATCTTTGAATGTCCGGAGTGCGAAAGAGAGATAGCATCACGTATCGGGCTTTTCAGTCACAGAAAAGCTCATGAAAGAAAACGCTTTGCGTGACCATCTTCTGATGCGTGTCAAATACTCGTCAGCGAGTAATGGCAGTATGTATGTAATTGGGATTGGGGTACAAGAACACAAAAAAGTCGAACTAAAGCTGTTGATATGTATTATGATAGTTAGACCACTCTTGTAGTAAACGTCTCAAATGCACTACCATCAGTTATTTTTGCTTCTATATCACCTAAAGCAATTAATAAAAAAGCTGCATCTATCTCTCACACTGTATTTACTAGAAAAATAATTCCTTAGTTTTTGTGAATTGCATAAATATAACTATAGTACAATGCGATCGAAAAAAAGAAACGGCGGTAGAGATGGCTTCGAAATGAAGATACATATATGTATATTATTTAAAATAAGACGAAGAATGTCATCGATCATCATTTTCAAGCCAACTGGACGCCGTTCTTTTAATTTCTATTGTGTTATGACATTAATTGTTAATCAATACTGTACCTTTCCAAGCCTCCTAATCTTTGATGAGCACGTGCTAGATTCAGATAGGATTCAGCTCGCATGTTGGGGTTGTCTAGTTCCTCCGATATGAACAGCTGGCGGTGGGCGTATTCTAAGGCGTCCCTGAAATCCAATAATTATCATTATTAATCAGTAGGAAATTAACATAGGTGATATATTAATATAGATAGAGAGAGAGAGAGAGAAATTGGAAAAAAAATAGAAACCCACTTTTTTATTTCACTAGTGAAAAGGTTTTTCAATTCATTACTTTTTGACTATATATGTTCCTATACCTAAAATAAATTGTTTTTAAGTTATATAAGATTTAGTTTTAAAGCGTATAAGTATTTTTCTTTATTTCAACCAGTAGCCTATGACTTTAAACGTCAAGTGATGTAAAACAGTAGATCTGGCCATGTCATATGTGACACTTTGTTCAAAAAGCAATATGTTATCGATCATCATTTTCAAGCGAACTTTGCTCTGTTTTTTTCGATCATATATCGGTATATTATTAATAATATCAACTATTAGATACCACTAAAAGAGCGAAAATAGGAGATACTTTTTATAAATACACTTGACTGTTTGACACTTAATGTCAAAGGAAGCTAGATAAAATCAAGAATGTTATACGTTTTCAAACTAAATCTTAAATAACTTACAAACCATTTATTTTAAGTATAGGAACATGTATACTCAAAAAGTAACGAATTGGAAAACCTTTGCATTAGTGAAATAAAAAAAGTGGGTTTTCATTTCAAAAAAATACTTTATGATAATTTTTCAATCGCTAAATTTCATGACAGCTACCGCCAATATTATATAACATTGGAACAATTTAATTTTTGAAACATTATTTTGAGTATTATTTTAGATGTTTTTTAAGAAACTTTTAATCCCGTTTTAATGTATCTAATTTTCAACAATCAAAAATCGTTTTTTATTTTTTAAACAACTTCCGGATTTATTCTGCCATTATTCAGCCGTAAACATTTTCATTGTCAATAAAATCGGATTAAGCAATTTTTCAAAATTTCCTTCCGGTAAATAACCGCGGAAAACTTTTTATTGACATTTTATAACTTCAAAATGATCGAAGTTTCCTCTGTGGAAAGTGGCTTTGGCGACGAAAAACTTTTAGGAGATAATTTTCCAGGAACGAATTTTCTTGCGGACCTTAAAAACAATCTATCCAATTTATTGTTCTCTGGGGTGCAGCGTCATTTATTTGATTGAAATTTGTAGAAGTTAGGACAGGGGACATTCATAATTGAATTCACTATCTGAAAACTGGTTGATGTACAGGGTGTCCCATTTTCGGGTGTTTTACAGGGTACTCATGTAGAAATACAAAGATGCGGTTTTCACTTCATTATGCTACTTTTTCATGAAAATAAAGATGCTACAGCCAGATTTGTCCTGGCCCCTTTCTGAAATACAGGGCGAAATTGAAAATGTTGGTTCATATCTCGGTTATCTTATAACTTTTCGAAAAGGTAAAAACTGATCCCAGTAGACATTTTCACGTAGAATCCAGTGACGTAACTAGTTTTTCATTAGGAGCTGTCATTCTCGAAATATAACCTAAACTTATTTTTTTTAAATGGGACACCCTGTATATTATTTTTTTTATAAAATTTGCCTCGTCATGAGCTTTCTAAAAATATAATATACTTTAGACCTATTTTCATAAATAAAGGAAAAACTACATTTTTTAACTTTTTAACATAAAAAAATAAGGCTGTACTGCCGTTAAACGGTAGCTTACTAAAATGCCGTTAATAGGTATGAAGTCGTTGATGTGACGCACTTGACGGCTTTATGCAATATAGGAATTTTATAAGGACTAACCAACGCTATCCACCCCAGCAAATAACCAACTTAACCAACGCAACTAACCTCGACACTGATAAAAAAATATAAAAAACAAATACAAATTAGTAAAAACCAACCAACCCCACCAAATAACCAACTAACCAATGAATTAACACCCTCCAAATAACCACGCTAACCAACCCGCCAAATAACTAAACCAATCCAACCAAAAAGAATGAAACCAATGCAATAAGATTACGCTATAAGCAAAAAAAATATAAAAAAGTCTTGGTCGGCGTGAGATTTGAACCACGGACCATTCGCTCACGAAGCGATAGCCTCATCCACGGAGCCACAGGTGCTCTTGCAAAATGCTTACAGCTAGGCATTACTTTCCGCCGGCATGAACGACGTCACAATATCTATTAACGGCATTTTAGTAGGCTACCGTTTAACGGCTGTTTAAGTACATCGAAAAATAAATGCCTTTATTGTCAAAAAATTTTACAATTTGTAGACACAGGTAAAGTAATCAATCAAACAAACAAAAGAGAATACAAAACAAGTATACAAATTACATTGTCAGTCTTATTGTTTAAAATAAACATTTATAAATCTTTACAATTTCAAAGAATAAAAAAATTAAAATAAGATTCAAAAATATTTTGAAAGTTTATACTAAATATACTAATAGCAAATATTAGACCCCCAGTGTTTACAAAATCAAATTCGATTATCAAAATATAAGTCATTTACGGCGTCTAGCCTTGTCTAGTAAATAAGATTTCAATGCTTTGCGAAATGAAGAAAATTATGTTATGGATTTCATTTCAAATGGCAGGTGATTGTGCATTTTTTTCGAGTTGTATAATATTGAACTTTTAACTAACTCTGAGCGTGGGGTAGGTAGATAAAGAGCTTGCTCCGCGTTCCTGAGTGGATAAGTGTGAGATGGCCTTTCTTGAGAAGCTGATACATGCTTACGTATTAGGCAAACGGACTCAAATATAAATAAGGAAGGAAGAGTTAATATTTTTAATTTTTTAAAAAGTCCTGGCAATGAGTTCTGCTGTTTAGTCCCAGTGAATATCGAACAGCTCTCTTCTGGAGCTTGAAAATGCGGTCAAATTGAGTCGCACAACACGTACCCCATGCAGAATAGAGGGGCATATCTGAGGTGTGACTCAAAAAATGCATAATAAACAGTTCTAGCCACTGACAAGTTAAGCTCCTTAGAAACAGATCTTAATGCAAAACAGGCAGAGCTTAATTTTTTCGAAAAACCGTCGATATGCATGTCCCGTTTTAGAGAATTGTCTACAACAAGCCCTAAGAATTTTACAGAATTTACGACGTCAATGGTGGTGTTGTTAAGTACAAAAGGCTGCAGCGAGTTTTTATACGACAAAGCTTTAGTTTTAGAAATGTTGCGACTCAGGAGATTCGAATCGCACCAAGATTTAATGGTGATTAAGTCATTTGATAAGTGCTTGTTGCTCCAAGTCAAGCTAGTATCGTCCGCAAAAACACATATTTTACCACTGATGTTTATGTTAGCAATGTCGTTAATAAAGAGAAGAAACAAAATAGGGCCTAGTACTGAGCTTTGAGGTACTCAACATTCTATTGGCTTGCTAGAAGACAACGTGGTATCCACCCTCACAAGTTAACTTCTGTTGCTCAGATACGACTTAAACCATTCGAGAGATGTTCCCCTGAACCCATAGTGCTGCAGTTTTATAATAGATAGTCATGAAAATTGAATAATTTATTCAACGTCAAATTTTGGCTGTTGTCTTTTCCATGCCAGTGTCCGTGTTGTTTTTTAATTCACTGATGGTACTAAACATGGTACGACAACAAAATTTTGATTATTGCGAAAAATATGACATGAATAAATTTTTATATTAGCCAAGGAAGATTCTGGTGCAGCGGCAGAGCTCTATTTGGACAGGTAGGTTATCAGGTACACGTATCCTTGTAATTTACTTATTTCGTTTTGAGCCATTTCTGGCTCCAATTCAATCAGCAATCGACACGAAAGAGAATTAAAAAATATTGACTCAAAACTGAACTAGAATTTCGAAATCTGAACTAAGACAAGCGCACTTATAATGACAAGAAAAACGAGGTGAGGAGGATGGTGAAAGAAGAAAAGAATAAAGTGTGGGATGACAAATGCAAAGAAATTAATACGTATATAGGCGGAAGAAAAAATACGGAAGTATGGAGATTTTTAAAAACAACAACAACTGAAAAACAGGAGTCAGCCCCTATAGAAATAATAATCAACAAAGAATGGGTGAAATATTATTCCAAATTGTTGTCAGAGAACAGACCTGAGTATCAAGAACCGCCACAGCCAGAAATAAACATTGAAGGAGAGGAAATCTACGTGGATACCAACAAAATAAAGACCGCTATAATGTCTTTAAAGAATGGAAGAGCATGTGGCCCAGAGGGAGTATATGCGAACTCATAAAATCTGGAAGCAAAAAACTGTTTAGAATGTTAACAAACATAGTTAACCAGTGCTTAAATGGTCATCCAGTACCTGAACAGTGGAAAAAAGCATATATCTCTAATAACTACAGGGGAATTTCGGTCACCAGCACTATGAGTCGCCTCTATGGAAGGATACTGAGGAACTTAATTGAAGAGGAATACTCCAGCTACGAAGAAGAAGAGCAGAATGGTTTCAGAAGCGGAAGATCATGTACAGATAATATCTTTGCATTGAAACAGATCATCGAGAAGAAATCTGCAATGAACCAGGAAGTTCATATAACATTCATCGATCTACAAAAAGCATATGATACAGTGCCAATAATAAAATTATGGGAAGTATTGCACTAATCAAGAATTAACGCCAGCTCTGATAAAAGCTGTACAAAATCTTTACCATGGAGGAAAATCACAAATAAAAACGGTCAACGGTCTCTCAGAGGAAATTTCTATCACTAAAGGGCTCCGACAGGGTTGTTGTATATCCCCAACACTATTTAAAATTTATATTGCCAAGGCCTTACATCTATGGTTAAGAAAATGTAACGGAATGCGTATAGAACTAAATGACATATGCCTATACACCTTGCAATTTGCAGACGACCAGGCCATAATTGCAAATGACAAAGATGACATGGAATATATGGTGCGGAAAATAATTGAAGAATATGCTAAATGGGGTCTCACAGTAAATACAGAAAAAACAAAATACCTTCCAATTGGAGCTAATACAGAAAATCTTATTTTAGACAATAATATGGAAATTAGGGCATGTGAAAATTACAGGTACCTGGGAT